TTCGACAAAGACAATCATTCTGCAAGATAACTCCCTTCATTCAAGATCTTTCTCCCAAGTTATTTCCATTAGGTTTACTCAAATAACCCGACACCACCCTCCTGGCATGATAACAAGCCCCAATCCAGCAGTGGACTGCCACATAACATGCATGTAAACTGCTTGTGTTTCCTGTGGAACTGATGTGTTATTGCGCTCTTACATTCAAATTCGATAATAATCACCATCACGGGTTCCTCTTGCAAATCAAGGGTGCACTTTATAAGCAGTCCACATTGTAAATTGTACAATTGAGGAGGTCCCGCTGCAGGCTTACAGTGAGAACTCTGGTCGCACGATTTGCGTCCCTCATTGCACGTGTGCAGATGACGACCTCCCCTCCCACCGAGTCCGCGTCTTCGCCATTCCCCCGGCCTTGTCGTCGTGGCTGCCAGCATGCGTGCTACTGGTGCTGTTGACGCTGGTGAAGGCGGCGCGCCAGCTCTTCCACTCGCTGAACCGCGACGGCCTGGCCGGCCTGCGCTGCCCAGTGCTGTGGCTCGAGGCGGCCGCCTGCGCCCTGCGCCTGCAGCTCGTCGCCGCGCACTTCCAGTGGGGGACGCCGCCAATCGCGCAATCAGCACCATCGCCACTGGCACTGGTGAGCACGAGTGGTGGCCGTGGGTGCTGATGGTGGTGGTGGCAGTGGAGAAGGTGGTGTTGCTTTGTGGGCAGCTGGAGTGTACCGGTTAGGGCACTGTGCTGAGGTGGCCAGAGTTCGATAACCAGTCGCAGTCAACACCGGTGATGAATATTTGAATGGGTCCTGGGTGTCCTTAAGTGAATTCAGCCTCAAATAACTACCTGGTGCATTGCGAATTAAACATCACCACGGGGGAAACAACGGAGGCCCAGGTGCGGTGCTGGGAACCCACCCCCTCGTGTACCTTGCGGGCCTCCTTAGGGCATTGCTAGCAGCACTTGCCCCAAAAGTATGTTAAGACTCTTAAGGGGATCTTTGTATTTGGTTAACTGAGCCTTAAATGAGTACCTGATGAAATGTGTAAATATCACCATTGGGGAGATAAAGGCGGCCAGGCGTGGTGTTGGCCACCCACCCCCCTTGTGTGCCGTGCCGGCCTTCATTGGCGCTCGCTAACAGCAGTTACCCTAACAGTCTGTTTAAGGCTACGAACGGAAGAAGGAAGAAAGTGTTGGCAATGGTTCCAGTGGAATTATTGGCATATACTTCTTGAAGTACACGAAAAAAACTCTGACATGCCCATATTTCCATATTAATTAAAAATGCAGCTGCAGGTGTCATTCAAGTGCACAAGAGTTACATTTCTATGAAAGGTTCTGGAGCCTAAAAAAAAGCACAAAATTCGATAAATAATTGCATTCACTAAATACAATACTGCCCCTCACCAAATCACCCAAAATGCACTCAATCTCGTCAAACCGTGTTAGCAAAATTACTCGGCGGGTTATTGAGTGAAATACGTAATTTATGTTAACTACCTCACTCGTTGGTTCAATCCATATACTGACGCCTGATGTTTATTTGGAGTTTGCATATATCTCTCTCTCCCCGTGGTCACGTAGGTTTTTGTACGGGTCCTCGGTTTTTCCCTCCACATTTAGAAATATGTGTTTAGAGTATTTGTCTGCTATAAATTTCCACGTGACAAGCCAATTTGTTGAGCTATTATTTGTGGCCAGGTCGCTTCTGAAAAAGAGCTACATAGCTCAGTGGGACTTACCTGGTAAAATACAAAGTTTATTTCATCCTGCGGGTATATTAATGAACCATAATTAGGTTCTCTCTACTGCACAGTGGACATTAAAGATCTCGTGAGGTTGGAACAGAGACAGCTGCCACTATGGGTCTCCTTGACTATACTGCAGCAGGGCACAGGACCGGTTTAGATGAGTTTCTTAGTGAGGCACTTTGAGTCGCCGAGGCATTCAAGCACCACCGTACAAGCACGTAACTTGTGCCACCCTTCAAAGCTCTATTCTCCTCTTCTGGCACCGCATTCCCCAACCAAAAACCCGCAGGAGTCTTTACAAGCTTCCAAGAGGTGGCGTTTTACGTCGAGCTGCTCCGCTTCTCTACGGCAACGCTCGTCTTCCTCGCCCTGCTGCGCGTGCTCACCATCGCCGGCGCCACCGTTACCCTCGCCTGTCTCGGCCGGGCACTAGCAGTTCGTGTGCGCCGGCTCCGGGGCTTCGGCGCCATCTGTGCCTCCGTGGCCTGCGGCTCCTCGTTCTTAATGTGGGCCGCTCGGACACCGCCTTTACCAATTCCGGCGGTTCATTGGTAGCGCCGGCGTCGTTGTGGCCGCACCCGCGATCCCAAGCGCGCGGGACCTCGGCAGAATCGCCGGCGCTCCAATGGAGGCTGCGGCGCGGCTGGCGCTGGCATTCGTCTTTCGCCTCTTGATGCCGATGTGCGCGTTTGTGGTGGCGGGGGGAGGGGTGCCATGGGCGGGCGAGGCAGGCAGCTCCGAAGCTGTTGGCGCAAGTGACGTGCGGGAATACCTGGGGAGCGTCGTCACGTCTGGCAAGGCCGCCGCGGTGAAGTTTGTGACGGCATGCAAAGGGCGCATGGGCAGACGGGGCTTTTCAGATTCAGTACCGTTTCCAACCGGAGGATCCGAGCCGGATAGGTGTGGGGCCATCAGGGCACGGGTGGTTTTTCCACTGGATATTTATCATGCTGAGCCTGAACCGAACCACGCTACGCTGGCCTCACGAGATATTTGAATCTGGCCCAGTGCAGGTGTGGGGCCAATGAGTAGTTCATTGCATGCGATGTCAGCACACT